TTCTTGCTAACGCCGCTTTTGATTAATCTCTGTGTGTCTAGCAAAATGTTGATAGTTGTATACAACAAACCATTTCTTTTATAAGTAAGAAAATTTGAAAAATAAGCAAATGTTAAACACAGGAAGAATGTATTTACACAGAGAAAGACGCAACCGAATCTATTTTTATAAATTGTTGATTCATGCAACACAGTGACTTTTAAAATTATAATTTGATCTTGTTTATCTAGCAGTCTTAAGGTTTACTTTTATTGCATCCTTTACTGTTGTATCTACAGTGTTTTTATTGATCATAAGTAATTATAATTGCGTGCAGTTGATGTTTGAAATGTATTCATAATTTACAATGGTTTATTCAATAACAAAGGTTTTTATAATAAGAACTGATTTATTCAAGAATATACATGTATGGATTTTGATTAATGAAGGAAAAATCCATTCACAGTTTCAGAAATCGTGTCTTAATCATTGGCATTCTAATCCTGTCTTAGATAAGTGATTCTCTATCCTGAATTAAAACTTGTGAAAACTTTATAAGATTTAGCAGTAGTCATTTGGAATTTAACAAATCTCAATGTTATTACGTACTCTGCATGAGGTTCTTATTTATGTATTTTTATTTCTATACCAATTGTTTTTAGTCAGTGATATATACTTAGTTATATAACTAGAATGTTCTACATAGACGTCATTAATGTTTTATAATACTGTTTCTTGAAGGAGATCCTGACTCACTCTTCATCTTCGTTCGTTATTCAAATGTGTTTATGTAACAAAACTCATAAGGATAAAAGATTGATGTTACAATAAGGTATAACTCTCATCACCATTTTAATCTGATATGTATGTGGTCGCGTTGTTTATATTAAATCTTTCATCCGTTTGTTGAGTATGTGACATGTAAAGAACTAAAGCAAGCATAATTTTGTTCACACGGTTGTCTTACTTCTAAAACGGAAGTAATTTTAGAAAAATTAAGCGATATTTTAGAATTACATTACCGACATAACAAATTAGCTAAAGCAGCATCTCGATAAAGTATGACTAAACATGCATGAGAAATCATATCTAAATTTATATACCAACTTTCTAACTATTGACAATAAGCTGCATGGTAAAGGAAAGCAAAGTCTGCTCAAATGTATGGGAGAGGTGAAATAGCATACTTGTGTATGGAAAAATGGGAACCTGTGAAAATTTGTATATGGAGGGGCACGTGTCCAATCATGCATCACCTCCCTTCTTGCTGACGCCAATTTTGATTAATCTCTGTGTGTCTGGAAAAATGTTGATAGTTGTATACAACAAACCATTTTTTTTTAAAAGCAAGAAAATTTGAAAAATAAGCAAATGTTAAACACAGAAAGAATGTATTTACACAGAGAAAGTACGCAACTGAATCTACTTTTGTGAATTTTTTATTCATGCAACACAGTGAGCTTTTAAAATTATAATTTGATTTTGTTTATCTAGCAGTGTTAAGGTTTAATTTTATTGCATCCTTTACTGTTGTATCTACAGTGTTTTTATTGATCATAAGTAATTATAATTGCGTGCAGTTGATGTTTGAAATGTATTTATAATTTACAATGGTTTATTCAATAACAAAGGTTTTTATAATAAGAACTGATTTATTCAAGAATATACATGTATGGATTTTGATTAATGAAGGGAAAATCCATTCACAGTTTCGAAAATTGTGTCTTAATCATTGGCATTCAAATCCTGTCTTAGATAAGTGATTCTCTATTCCTGAATAAAACTTGTGAAACTTTATAAGATTTAGCAGTAGTCCTTTGGAATTTGACTAATCTCAATGTTATTATGTACTCTGCATGAGGTTCTTATTTATGTATTTTATTTCATAACAATTGTTTTTAGTCAGTGATGTATACTTAGTTATATAACTAGAATGTTCTACATAGACGTCATTAATGTGTTTTAATACTGTTTGTTGAAGGAGATCCTGACTCACTCTTCATCTTCGTTCGTTATTCAAATGTGTTTATGTAACAAAACTCATAAGGATAAAAGATTGATGTTACAATAAGGTATAACTCTCATCACCATTTTAATCTGATATGTATGTGGTCGCGTTGTTTATATTAAATCTTTCATCCGTTTGTTGAGTATGTGACATGTAAAGAAATAGAGCAAGCATAATTTTGTTCACACGGTCGTCTTACTTCTAAAACGGAAGTAATTTTAGAAAAATTAAGCTACATTTTAGAATTACACTACAGACATAACAAATTAGCTAAAGCAGCATCTCGATAAAGTATGACTTAACATGCATGAGAAATCATATCTAAATTTATATACCAACTTTCTAACTATTGACAATAAAGTGCATGGTAAAGGAAAGGAAAGCCTGTTCAAAGGTATGGGAGAGATGAAATAGCATACTTGTCTATAGAAAAATGGGAATCTGTAAAAATTTATCTAGGAAGGGGCAAGTGTCCAATCATGCATCACCTCTCTTCTTCCTGACGCCACTTTTGACTAATCTCTGTGTGTCTAGCAAAATGTTGATAGTTGTATACAACAAACCGTTTCTTTTAAAAGTAAGAAAATTTGAAAAATAAGCAAATGTTAAACAAAGGAAGAATGTATTTACACTCAGAGGATGAACACGACCGAATCTGTTTTTGTAAAATGTTGATTCATGCAACAACACAGTGAGCTTTTAAAATTATAAATTGATCTTGTTTATCTAGCAGTCTTAAGGTTTACTTTTATTGCATCCTTTACTGTTGTATCTACAGTGTTTTATTGATCATAAGTAATTATAATTGCGTGCAGTTGATATTTGAAATATATTCATAATTTACAATGGTTTATTCAATAACAAAGGTTTTTATAATAAGAACTGATTTATTCAAGAATATACATGTATGGATTTTTGATTAATGAAGGAAAAAATCCATTCACAGTTTCGAAAATTTTGTCTTAATCATTGGCATTCAAATTCTGTCTTAAATAAGTGATTCTCTATTCCTGAGTTAAAACTTGTGAAACTTTATAAGATTTAGCAGTAGTCCTTTGGAATTCTACTAATCTCAATGTTATTATGTACTCTGCATGAGGTTCTTATTTATGTATTTTATTTCAGTAACAGTTATTTTTAGTCAGTGATGTATACTTAGTTATATAACTAGAATGTTCTACATAGACGTCATTAATGTGTTTTAATACTGTTTGTTGAAAGAGATCCTGACTCACTCTTCATCTTCGTTCGTTATTCAAATGTGTTTATGTAACAAAACTCATAAGGATAAAAGATTGATGTTACAATAAGGTATAACTCATCACCATTTTAATCTGATATGTATGTGGTCGCGTTGTTTATATTAAATCTTTCATCCGTTTGTTGAGTATGTGACATGTAAAGAACTAGAGCAAGCATAATTTTGTTCACAAGGTCGTCTTACTTCTAAAACGGAAGTAATTTTAGAAAATTAAGCGATATTTTAGAATTACATTACCGACATAACAAATTAGCTAAAGCAGCATCTCGATAAAGTATGACTAAACATGCATGAGAAATCATATCTAAATTTATATACCAACTTTCTAGCTATTGACAATAAGTTGCATGGTAAAGGAAAGCAAAACCTGTTGAAAGGTATGGGAGAGGTGAAATAGCATACTTGTCTATGAAGAAATGGGAATCTGTGAAAATTTATATAGGGAGGGGCACGTGCCCAATCATGCATCACCTCCCTTCGTGCTGACGCCACTTTTGACTAATTTCAGTGTGTCTAGCAAAATGTTGATAGTTGTATACAACAAACCGTTTCTTTTAAAAGTAAGAAAATTTGAAAAATAAGCAAATGTTAAACAAAGGAAGAATGTATTTACACTCAGAGGATGAACACGACCGAATCTGTTTTTGTAAAATGTTGATTCATGCAACAACACAGTGAGCTTTTAAAATTATAAATTGATCTTGTTTATCTAGCAGTCTTAAGGTTTACTTTTATTGCATCCTTTACTGTTGTATCTACAGTGTCTTTATTGATCATAAGTAATTATAATTGCGTGCAGTTGATGTTTGCCATGTATTCATAATTAACAATGGTTTATTCAATAACAAAGGTTTTTTATAATAAGAACTGACTTATTCAAGAATATACAAGTATGGAATTTTTGATTAATGAAGGGAAAAATCCATTCACAGTTTCGAAAATTTTGTCTTAATCATTGGCATTCAAATCCTGTCTTAAATAAGTGATTCTCTATTCCTGAGTTAAAACTTGTGAAACTTTATAAGATTTAGCAGTAGTCCTTTGGAATTTGACTAATCTCAATGTTATTATGTACTCTGCATAAGGTTCTTATTTATGTATTTTTATTTCAATAACAGTTGTTTTTAGTGAGTGATGTATACTTAGTTATATAACTAGAATACTCTACATAGAAGTCATTAAAGTGTTTTAATACTGTTTGTTGAAGGAGATCCTGACTCACTCTTCATCTTCGTTCGTTATTCAAATGTGTTTATGTAACAAAACTCATAAGGATAAAAGATTGATGTTACAATAAGGTATCAACTCTCATCACCATTTTTAATCTGATATGTATGTGGTCGCGTTGTTTATATTAAATCTTTCATCCGTTTGTTGAGTATGTGTCATGTAAAGAACTAAAGCAAGCATAATTTTGTTCACACAGTCGTCTTACTTCTAAAACGGAAGTAAATTAAAAAAATTAAACGATATATTAGAATTACATTACCGACATAACAAATTAGCTAAAGCAGCATCTCGATAAAGTATGACTGAACATGCATGAGGAATCATATCTAAATTTATATACCAACATTCTAACTATTGACAATAAGCTGCATGGTAAAGGAAAGCAAAACCTGTTCAAAGGTATGGGAGAGGTGAAATAGCATACTTGTCTATGAAGAAATGGGAATCTGTGAAAATTTATATAGGGAGGGGCACGTGTCCAATCATGCATTACCTCCATTCTTGCTAACGCCGCTTTTGATTAATCTCTGTGTGTCTAACAAAATGTTGATTGTTGCATACAACAAACCATTTCTTTTAAAAGTAAGAAAATTTAAAAAAATATGCAAATGTTGAACACAGGAAGATTGTATTTACACAGAGAAAAAATGAAACCGAATCTATTTTGTAAATTGTTGATTCATGCAACACAGTGAGGTTTTAAAATTATGATTTGATCTTGTTTATCTAGCAGTCTTAAGGTTTACTTGCATTGCATGCTTTACTGTTGTATCTAAAATATCTTTATTGATCATAAGTAATTATAATTGCGTGCAGTTGATGTTTGACATGTATTTATAATTTACAATGATTTATTCAATAGCAAAGATTTTTTATAATAAGAACTGATTTATTCAAGAATATACATGAATGGAATTTTTCATTACTGAGGGGAAAAATCCATTCACAGTTTCGAAAATCGTGTCTTAATCATTGGCATTCAAATCCTGTCTTAGATAAGTGATTCTCTCTTCCTGAAATAAAACTTGTGAAACTTTATAAGATTTAGCAGCAGTCCTTTGGAATTCTACTAATCTCAATGTTATTATGTACTCTGCATGAGGTTCTTATTTATGTATTTTATTTTAAAATAATTGTTTTTAGTCAGTGATGTATACTTAGTTATATAACAAGAATGTTCTACATAGATGTCATTAATGTTTTATAATACTGTTTGTTGATGGAGATCCTGACTCTCTCTTTATCTTAGTTCGTTATTTAAATGTGTTTATATAACAAAACTTGCATGGATAAAAAGCTGGTGTTTCATTAATGTATAAATTATGATCACCATTTTTTAAATGATATGTATGTAGTCGCGTTTTTTATATTAAATTTCTTTTCTTTTGTTAGGTACGCAAGCATAATTTTGTCCACACAATCGTCGTATATGAAGTCTTATTTCTAAAACAAAGTTAATTTTACGTAAGTTAACCGAGATTTTGTGTTTACATTTCATACTTAACAATTTTTATACTGAAGCATTGCGTAGTATGAAGTATGACTACAAACAAATTAGGAAATTGATCGAGACTTACCTGAAATTCAAGTTCCATTGGGATTCTATTAGCATCTACAGAGCAGAGATTACACGAGAGATACTACGCATGCGCACATTGGTCATGTTTCAAAGATAGTGGCCATATGAACCGCCGAAATGTGCATATGAACGATATGCAGGGAGGCAGTAAGATGATGGGTGGGCGTGTAAACTCTGCTCTGTAGATGCTAATTGAATGCCAATCGAACTTCAACTTCAGGTAAGCTCGTTCAATTTCCTAATTCTATTAGCATCTACCGCAGAGATCCCACGAGATTTGAAAGTCATGTGGACACACTCCATGCCTACACGCAAAGAAGACATTAAGTTATAAACTTATTTTCATTGGAGATGTGTCAAACATACCCAGAAAGAGTAACAAATATGAAGTTAAAGTATTTCCTTCTCTTGCACTATACATGCAAGTATATATGTTCTGAACTCCCTGCTAAGTTCAACTAAAGAGAATTCTCAACCAATATCTCTCTTATTGGGACGCTGAAAGAATGGCATTCCCAAACTCCGCATCTCCACATTGAGACACAACGTTCTTATTGTAAAACCGATTAAAAACGCAATCAGTCTTCCAACTTGCAGCTTTCAGTATAGAGTTTATCAAAACATCACATTGCTTCCCCTTGTTGGTGGCTGCGGCTCGTGTACTATGTGGGTGAACGTTTCTATGTCAATTCCTGCAGTTTGCATGACAACCTTTATCCAACGAGATATAGATGACTTTGATACTTTATGAAAGGGTCGAATTGTGCAAAGAAATAGTTGATTTTCCTAACCCCGAATGTGAACAGTACGTTTAATATATTCTTCCATGACTGAGGCAACACATCGTCGGTGATCGGCAGGGAGCTTTGGTATCACTAAAGTAGGTTGAATGCGTGTTGGTCCAGATTTTTTGACAAGTTGGTCGATATAGAAGGTGTATGAGTCCTCTTCCCTCTTTACAGTTGAGAGTTTCATGAGGTGGAGTGATGGAGCACGCTGCCCTGTCACTAATGCACCCAGCATTACCAACTTATGAGTTAGCTGTTGTAGGGTTAAGTCTTCTACTGCGGGACGTGTCTTTAAATACTCTTATACAATGGAGGTGTCATCTCTGAACCATATAATGTGTACCACTCGTAGAATTCCCTTCAGTAATGACTAATGAAAATAACATACTTCGAGCAGTGTTTATGCAACTGTAACTCATCCCTTGATTAAATAAATGCTGTAGAAAGTCTAGAACTTCCTGTAAAGTTGGATGAAGGGGATCTGCATTTTGCTTGTTAGTATAGAGTTACCACTTGTTAAGGTACACCTGATATTGTTTTTGTGTTCCTGGCCGCCAGGAATTAAGTATTGTTCCTTGAGCCTGTGGTGAAATGCCCTTACTTGAGAGTGATCTCCGGATAAGAGACAAGCTATCAGTCTCAGTCTCCCTTTGAGTAGATGTTCTTTTGTTTGATTGGATAGTAAGCTCACGTTGCTTTTGTTTTTGGGTAGGAGAATGGGTCGGTGAATCACTAATCTTGCCAGTATCGGATACCAGGATTGAGTTGGCCAACTCGGCACGATGAGAATTGTCTGTGCCTGGGCCATATCTACTTTTTGTAAAACTTGTCATATAACAATAAAGGGTGGAAAAGCATAAAGAAACAATTTACTCCCATCAAAGCAAAAAGCGTCAATAGCCCACGCCTGTGGATATGGCTGCCACGAGACATTGGGTTTAAGTTGATAGTTTAGTCTTAAAGCAAACATGTCAACTTCTGGGGTCCCAAAATATGCTGTTATTTCAAGAAATAATTCAGCATCAAGCTTCCATTCTTTAGAATAATCAAATGCTCTAGAAGCTTTGTCAGCCACCACAATAAGTTTCCCAGGGATATAGCTGACTGTTAACCATATGTCCCTGATTCTGCCCCACGCCCATATTTCCCTTGCAATTTTATTGCAATGATGAGAGTGGCAGCCCCCCATGTGGTTAATATATGCAAGTGCAGTGGTATAATCGGTCATTGCTTTAATGTGAATGTGGGCTAGATCTCTTCAGAGAGATTGTAGCCCAAACAGTATTGCTTGGAGTTCCAGGCAGTTAATGTGCGAGTCTTTTCGGTTATTGACTATTCGTCTGGGGTTGCCTGTTTGTTAATACGTGCGCCCCCTCCCTTAGTAGAGGCGTCCGTATACAATACGTGGTCAATCTTGCCATGATTCAGATGTTTTTTGAACTCATATGCATTATTAATCCACCAAGATACGTCCTCCAGCGCCGGAGGGAAGAGTTTCAATGTCGAATCAAAGTTACCCCTTTTAGACTTAAGGGCTGTTGTTTTCTCCCTATCAGGATCACGATAAAACAGTGGGCCATATTCAACGTCAGGAAAACAAGCTACCATCATACCAATTAGCTTGGTCACTTCCCGTATGCTTGGAGAGTCAGATTTTAGCACCCCTCTGGCAACCTCGCATAATTTGTTGTGTTTCGCTATGGATATATAGATAGTCATATCTATTGAATTTAGCACAAACCCTAAATGCTGTAAAGTCTGTGTGGGTTCTGTAACAGATTTATCTTTATGGGGTAGAAATCCTAACTTCTGAAACGATTGTAGAGTGTCATATACGTTTTGCTCGCATTCTGACTAGGAGTAGCCCATTAAAAAAGAGTCATTAATGTAACCGCTAGAAATGTACCGAAGCTCCCTGCCGTGAGGTGATAGGCAAGGGGGCATTTTACCTTCGCCAGTAATAAAATAAGGGCCGGCGCTTCCCCATTTGGACACATGAAAATTGCAAAATTGAAGATTATAGAAAAAGTAATGAAGGATTTGTGTATTATTTGTACTTTTCTTACGTTATCTCATCATGCAGAAGACATTCATCAACTGTTAAGTTTTTAGAAATTCTCGTAGCATCTTTAAACGGAATCACCCTTTAAGTGTTATCAATATAAGCAGGCATGTGGCTAGCATGTAAAATTTGGGGAGCAACAACATTTTTTTGGGGGGGGAGCAGTTGTAGACATCAAGTTATACTGTGTTATAACAATAATATAATTTATCACTAGTAAGTTTTTGTTGGTAGCCGCTGTGCATGCGCGGCTAACCACTATGCCATACTAAAAAAGTGTCTGAGTGAGGCAGTGAGGCAGGCAGTGTTTGTTCGTCGTGATATCCTTGGTTGTGTCATCGCTGATAGTCGCATATGCAAACGATGACTAATAGAATTGTTTTAAGTAAAGTCAATACTTATGTTGTTCTTTAATTACCTATGCTTTAGAGCGTACAATCTGCACTTTGTTTTTTGTGACTATAGTCAAAACCTTGCAGCTGAAAATATCATTCATTTATACGCTATACTGGTGATTACAGACGTCAAATTTATCTCGTTTGGGCAAAAAATACAAGGAACTTGATACTATGTGCAGTCTGTACTTGTATTTTGTTCTGTATTTTATTCATATGTCGCGTTGTTTATCTCTCACCCTGTGTTTTGTGTTTTGGTGAGGAAAATGTAAAGCAGATAAGAGATAGTTTTCTTATTTTCATTTCAATTAGTAATGATGACGATTTGAATTTAACAGATTGTCAAAAATGACGAAGAATTTAAATATATAATTAGAGTTAAGCTATAGTCCTTTGGGATACTACTGCAGTTTAGCGGACACCTTTGACGCTGACCAAAACCCTACCCCATAGTCACAAGGAAAAACGAGCCCGCAGTCACAAGCGCTTCGGGTGCCCGCTAAACTGCAGTCTAGCAAAAATATAAATTGGAACAGAATCATCAGCAATATAGTCCTATCAAAATGTTATTAAGCAAATATTCATACAACAAAGCAAACCAGTTTGATATATCCTGTTAAAAGAACGACGTATCTGTTCACCACACGATTGTTAGACAAATAAGATATATTATTTATTAACTAGGCGTTACTATCGCAAGGTATTTGCTGCCTCTCGCGCCGAGTAGGCGAAAATATTATCATTTTAAGTGTTTTCCCATTGTATCAAGCCTACTATTTTCATGCCTTGATGTGAGATCAATTACTGGGTCATGTCACTAGGCAGTGAACACAATTTTTATCAAGAGAAAGAAATGAAGCACACAAGTCTTCATAAATGACTTTTGGTACTATTTTTAATTTATCCTTTTAACTTTTGTAAACATTTTGTACATATTAAATTATACCTTTGTTCACAAACTCATTCCTTATTTCTAGAATAAAAAATGGTTTCGCCACCTAATAAATTAAAGATTGAGGAAAATGGATCTCGTTGTGCTCATTTTGTACATTGCAAATTGATGCTTTTTGCACAAACTTGCTCTTCATTTCTTGCTTGAAAAATGGCTTCACCGCCTAAAAAACTGAAGTTTGAGGCAAACGGATCTCGTTTAAGTAAACTTTTGATAAATAAAGGAACACAAGCCTTAAAAACAAAATTGCAAATCATTATAAATCTTCAATCATCAAACTTAAAAGATAAACTTAATGATCCTTCTACAAAGAGTAAATTGACATCACTAAAATTCAAAGTCATCAACAAAGAGCAATGGAATCTTCTTTACCCGTCGACTGGCTCACCTGACATTAAAAACTTTGATATTTCATTATTGACTGTCTTGTTGCGTAACATATGTGGTCTAACAGCTCCACATGGTGGATGGAATAATCTCCCTTCCTCTTCAGAGTCTTCAATCTCAGCAAACATTGCAAGAATAAAGTTTTATCGAAACAAAGTGTACGGTCACATAACTACAACTAGTATAGATGACAGTGAGTTTGAGTACTTGTGGCAGGAAATTTCAAAAGCATTGGTTGGTCTGGGTATTCAACAAACTGAAATAGATGAATTGAAGGAAGCTCGTCTCAGTCCTGATGAAGCAAATTATATTGAATTGTTAAAAAACTGGTGTGCAGTTGCTAACAAAACAAAAGAAGGTGTGGAAGATATAAAAAATGACGTTAAGGAAATTAAAGAAATTGTGTCAACAAAAGCTGATGTAGCTGAAATTACACAAGTGATGGCAACAAAAGCTGATGTAGTAGAAATTAAACAAGATATGGCAACAAAAGCTGATGTAGCTGGAGTAAAAGACATGTTGCAAGTCAAAACATGTTCAGATCTCAAGAAACTTGGAAAGTGCAATTTCAAAGGTGTTATAAAAGATCTCAACAAGAAATACCTTGAAGGCACTAGACAATGGTTATTTGAAGAACTCGACATTTGGTTTGAAGATGAAAGTGAAGATGCTTCTAATGTCATGATTTTGATTGCTGGTCCAGGCGTTGGTAAAAGTGTGTTTGCTGCTGAGTTGTGTCGACGATATTCCGAAAAGAAGAAACTTGCTGCTTGTCATTTCTGCAGATATAATAGATCAGATTATAGAAATCCTCGAATATTGATAGAATCACTGGCCAGCAGCATGTGTGATACAATATCAGAGTTTAAATCTAAACTGAATGAAGAATTACAGAGAAACCATTCCAAAGAATCGATCACCGCTGCATTCCGTGTTTTATTAAATGATCCATTGCATTTATTGGAAGATCATGAACCAATGCTTTTGGTTATTGATGCGTTAGATGAAAGTCAAGTTAAGGGCAAAAGTGAATTATTGGAATTGATTTCTGATGAATTTTGCCGACTGCCTAAATGGATTAAAATCTTCATCACCAGTCGTCCAGAACTTCCTGTTAAAAAGGAATTGAAAGACATGAATCCTGTAGAAATAGAAACTCGACCTCATGATAGAAAGAACAAATCCGATCTGTGCAAGTATTTAGCACATGAGTTGAAGAGTAATTTCTTCGTTGCTGACTGGCGGCACAAAAACAGTTATGACAGTGATGACAGTGATGACAGTGATGACAGTGATGACAGTGATGAGTATGAAAAATGCGCGGGTTCGTTTCTGTACGCTTACCACGCACAAGAGAGTTTAAAAAAAGAAAAAACTGAGCTAACTGTCAAGAATATTAAACAATTGGTTCCTAATGGGTTGAGTAAATTTTACACAGAACAATTCAAGAGATTAAAAAAATTATTGAAAAAAATAATTTTATCAACACACAAAACCGTTACTTCCGACTTTACAGAAAACTTTACGGAATGTCTTGAAGTGTTAGTGACTTATCAAAGTATTTTGCCTTTGTCTTTTCTTCTTCATTGTTTGGGTTTTTCTGATGACATGAAGTTTAAAGATCGTTTTAAAATACATGGAGTGCTATCTCAATTTTTTCCAATTTACGATGATTATTTGACCGTTTATCACAAGTCTCTCGTTGATTGGTTGAAATCAGATGGTTATGAAGAGCATGAGTTTACAGTTGATCCAAAAAATGGTCATAAGTTCTTATGGCATGCTTGTGAGAAAGTGTTTAAACACATCAGGTCGATGAACATTTTTAAAGGTCAGATGAGCACTGCTATGATTCACTATGCTTTGAAGAATGGAATCTATCATATGTTAAAATGTCGCAAAAATGTTGACTTTAGCTGGGCAGTAGATGTCAAAGTGGTTTGTGCGAGGTTAATGGTTGTGGAAGACATTGAAGTGGATACCTTTGAGTCTGAATTGTTTGAAATCATTAAGGAACGACGTCCTTTTTTAAAAAAAGATGTACTTGAGGAACTACTATTTCATTTATTTATGATAAGGAAGGTGTTATATAAGTATGATGAAAGCTTACTTTATTTACAAATTATTGCAAACAGAATTCATGGCAGTAACGAAAAAAGATTATTGGCAAGGGATTTATTGAAACAAGGAAAGCTTACTTGGGTTGAGAATTTAAACTCAACATATCTAACAAACCATCATCATTTGACTGTCTCCTTGCGTGCTAACGTTACATGTCTTTGTGTGTCGTCCAATGATGAACTTCTTGCTGTAGGATATGAAAATGGTCAAATATCTATTTTTGAACTTCCTGATTTTAAGCAACGATGGACTCTAGGCACTGCACTCGATGATTCAAGGTTGGATAAGTGGGATGATGTAGACACATTTATTTTCCTGTATGACATCTATGACTATGCAACATCAAAGAAATTTGGTTTTGTACGTGGGAACATATGTTGTTGCTCCTTTTCACCTAACGGAAGTAGACTGGTAACTAGTGATGGATCTACTGAAGTAAAGTTGTGGGATGTTAACAATGGACGTTTGTTATTATGTTTACAGTCAGATGATGTCGTTAATCGTTGCTCTTTCTTATATTCTGGTTTGTTTATTACAGCAAAATATGTAAAACATTACAATGGATTTCCTAAAGATGGTTTTTATAAAAGAGTGTTCATTGCATGGAATTCATTAACTTTGCAAAGAATCGATCGACGCTGCGTTGTTGATTACCAAAAACTACAATACACCGATAAATATTCAGAGTTCTTTGTTGCAAAGTTCTTCTGGACTTCGTTTTTTTTTGAATTTCCAAAGGCAATCGATATTTTTTCAAGTGGAAAGTATGATTCACGACGTTTACATTCAATGATAATACACAATTATCGTGATTGTATTTTTTATCATACAAAGCAGAATGGAAAGCTTTCTGAAGTCAGTCAGTTGAAAAAATACAACGATCAAGGAGAAATCGTGTTTTGTTTACCAAATGTTGAGTGTCCATGTTTTTGGAGGACTCTTAACAAAGTCCATCCAATCTCGTTTAAGGAATTTTACGTTGTGCCGTATTTTTCCAAGCTTAAAATTTTCAAAATTGATCATCTTTGGAGACCTTCATTTATCTTTGAAAAATTTAAAATTGAATGTTGTTGTTTTTCACCGGATGGATCTTTTTTTGCTGCTTTCGCTGTTGGTGACCACGTCAACATTTATATTTGGAGCATTGAACGTTGCACTATTATTCAAACTGTACCAATGCAACTGAAGGATGTATTTGGATGTTGGTGGTCAGATGGTTTACTGTGGATATGGGATGGTTCTGATCATCTTACGAAGATATCAACTTCGTCTGAAAATTTTGTAGATTCTACACAAGCAAAGCATGTTAACATTGGATTTAAACCTAAGAAAATCTTAACATTTGGTGATGTCTTAGTTTGTATTGACGAAGAAAAGTTTGTTCAAGTTGTTAGAATTACCAAGGGTGAGATACAATACAACAAAAGACTTCCTGTCCATAGTTCAAAATTTAAAGCAGCAGCTGTATCACCTGATAATTCTGTTATTTTAACTGTAATTAAAACAGAATACACATTATGGAAATGGGGAAATAACAACAATGAACTTTACTTGAAACCTTGGCATACTGCAGAAATATCCATAGCAGATGTCTTGGGAAAAATTGTTGAAGAACAGGAAACTGTAAATGATCTAACGTTCAACTGCTTTATAAGTGATAGTAAACAAGCAGTCATAACATTTTGCAAAGACTTGGATACGAACTTTTGTGTAATTAATGTTCACGAGAATGGTGATGTGAATGACTTTGTATGTGGTATCAGTTTATATTTTTTGCACTCGAACCTAATTGTACACAAATCTTATTACATTGGAGTGTTTGATGGGTCATTGGTTGCTGTAGATTTAAAGAGTCGTAAAGTATGCGCTAAATTTGACGAAAAATGTCATTTAATGTCTATTATAACTCTGCATTCCAATACAGGAAGTTTAGCTATTGTTGAGAGTTTAAATTGCAGAATTCAATTTTTAAAACTTAATGTTCCTGAATAAATACATCAACTCAAACTTTAATAGTAAATTCAAAAACCTTTTGAGAAAATTTCACTTAGATGTTGATGGTCGTAAGGATGATTGCTTGTTTCCACCTACTATAATTTTCTACAGAAGAAGTATTCTTATTCTACCAGGCAATCTTTAAGAAATTATTTATATGTTCAAAAAATAAATTTGGATTAATTTTGCGAAAGATCTTTTAAATTTATCGGTACTATTTCTTGGAATGTCTTACCTCCTGCTATTAAAGAATGTAAAATATTATCTATGTTTTGCAATAATCTGAAATGATGTATAATTGCTTTATATTACACAAATGACTTGTATTTAAAAAGAGCGCTTCTATACTAATTGATCATGAATATTTGTGTATTCCTTTCTAAGATTCTACTGTAATCTTCATAAATGAATTGTCATTTAAACAGGGCATCCTCTAGATTAAACTACTACTGTAAGATGCTCTGTCAAACTTATCATTATGTATTGTATCTCTGAACAAATTTCATGTTGATGATTTACTTTTTAATAAAAATGTATGGTTAGATAATTTGGTTATTTTTATTTAACAAATAGATAACATTTAACAATTGTCTATACAGTTATAGATACACGGGTGTGACGTCATTGTGATAAAAACTGAGTGGCCACGAGCCGCCGGGGTAAATCAATGTTTGAAAACCGGATTTTTTCTTTTCTTTTTGCTCAAATGCGTCCAATGCTTTAACTAGGCATTCTTAATTTCTTTATTTGCCCATTCAGGGATATATTCAGGTAAATATTCAAATATATTCTCCGTTCGTTTGTCATTTAAAAACAAGGAATTTTCTGTGACCACAATTCCGTGCGTCTGTCCTCTTATCGATCATAGCTCTCGACCAATGAAATTGCTTAAATTCTTCCGGCTATTATATAATATTATAAATAAGACGTTCACTACATAGAAATGAAAGAATGTCGACAACTCATTCATTGTGAGTCATTTGATAATATGGTGTTGTAGATGAAGATTATTTTGATGAAGTTATAGATTGACTTTCTTTAGACATGCTTTCAAGAACTGTGAATACAATTTACCTTACGCATGTTAATATCGTGAAAACAAGTTTTGTATGATGTTAAAAATTCACATTTATAAATCATCATCATGATGTCATGTCATGTCATTGGGTTTTATGGTCATTTATTGAAAAATGTGAGAGATAATTTTTGTACGTTTGTTATGTATATATGACCTTAAAGACAGAAAATGTTATATACTGTCAACAATTCCCGTATGTAAAAACATCTTCATTACGTCATGTCGATAACTGAGATGAAAATTAATGATTAAAACTTTTACGATTTTGGCATAAGTTCGTTTGAACTTAAGAATTGAATTTTTTTGATTAAAATATTGAAGAATGATAAACTTCACTTTCTATTTTCATTTTTTAAAATAAAATTTGTCATAATGTTGATGGAAATACAACGCTCAATATTTAGCTATGGTTCTAACTTGTAACATTTGTTCACACAACAATAAACGTTTTAAGGTAAATGGTTTGTACCCGGGAGTATCGTTACATGTTTGTAAATGTAGATCGTCCAGGTTGGTATAGTCCTGAGAAGGACTGTTTTTGTTGTTTTTGACTAACGTTTCGACAACCTTAACGGTAGTCATCTTCAGAGTCAAACTGAGCCTTGTTGACTGACGTTTCGACAACCTTAGCGGTAGTCATCTTCAGAGTCAAACTGAGCCTTGTTGACTGACGTTTCGACAACCTTAACGGTAGTCATCTTCAGAGTCAAACTGAGCTTTGTTGACTGACGTTTCGACAACCTTAGCGGTAGTCATCTTCAGAGTCAAACTGAGCCATGTTGACTGACGTTTCGACAACCTTATCGGTAGTTATCTTCAGAGTCAAACTGAGCCTTGTTGACTGACGTTTCGACAACCTTAGCGGTAGCCCTTCTCAGGACTATACCAGTCCCGAGAACAGCCTTGTCGACACGTCAGTCAACATGGCTCAGTTTGACTCTGAAGATGAAATGATCAAGTGCTGCAAGTAAACAGTTGGTTTTCACTAGTTATTTTTTTTAATGCATACTAAAATATTTCAGTTTGTTAAGAAAAATTACAGCAAAATAGTCTATTTTAAAAAGCGTTCATTGCATTTCTAAGAGAAAAAAATGTCGCTAAGTAATTGCAGGAAGCATAAAAACTTATGCGATCAACAAAAAAGCAAGGGACACCAAGTAACCGGAATCAGATTGGAAAAGAAAAGTTTTAAACTACGACGTTATTTGATACTGAATCAAAGGTTTTACCAAAATCAAAGGATACCACTCGAACAAAATCTGTATGCTCGTTCAACATTTTAACCAAAGATACCAACGTCTGTAACCTTTACAACTTAACTAACATATATTACTGAAAGTACTTAACAAAAAACGGAAAATGCCAAATGAGAAATTTTTTTAACCTAGTGCAGAGAAGCCTATACCTCATCAAAGGAGCCTTCGCTAAAAGTATTATCTTTTCTTAAATGAAGTACACAAACTTAGTGTTTCCTGTTTCTAATTTCTTATTTGCATTTTTATTTGAGGGAGAAACTTTTCCTTCTTATTTCAATGTAATAAACCATATTTAATTATTTGTACTTTGCTTCAAGTTTTCTCTTATGCCAAAGCAGACAAGTATCTCCAAAGTTTGAACGCTTCTAGCAGGGTATTTATATAAACAACTAATATTTGAAATACCATCGATCAATTTTCTATAAAAGCGATTGTGTTAAGTAGCGTAGTCAGTTCTCAAGTTTAGTCACGCTATGAAAATTTCGGAACTTTATGATCATTTATTTCTTTGGAAACCTTTTGTTTTCATTGAGAGTCTTTCACTGATCATCAGAAAGTTTAATAAAAGGAATTGTATTTTTTTAATGTACACCGTGAATGTTTAACGACATCAAAACTCAATGTTCTAAAGCTATTCATCCGACATCACTATTTACTTAATAAAAACTTAAATTGTGTTTGCATTAGCCTGTACAGACATGCGTATCTGAGCTACATCAATTATATCAATCAAAGATAATTTGCAACTGAATCATGAATACATGTTAGAGAAAAATTTTTAATTTTTTTCTTGAAGTTGTCTGTTTCGCATTACTATTATTTACAACAGAACTAAAAGATTTTTTTGTGTTTTTACTGGCTTATGCAAACCTTGAGACTTTGGTGAGAACTCTCTATCTGTTGCAAAATGTCAACTTTCGGTGTAAATCTTGCACTGACATTGTCTCAAGTTCTCCCAAATGTCTTCTCCATTTGCTTAACCCTGTGCAACAATTAAGCATCTTTTGTTTTCAAATCCCATCCTATATTCAATCTTCACCATCCTTTCGTTCAAATTTTCTCCGTGGGTGTGCAAGAGGTGAGGTGTGACCTTTCCCTTACTAATTATCAATATACCAAACAATCAAATTTATGATTTTATCTTCCTGTCATCCATTAATATCCATTCATATTAGCCATTAATGTCCATTCGTGTCTTCTATTGCAGACGCACAGACGGTTGTTGATATATATTTAAATTACGACTGTGAATTGGTTTTGTCGAATATCTTTCAAAGATTGATCAATGATTTGTCTAAAGTTGCCCAAGGACGTCAAGCTATTGAATTAGGAGCGACACAAGTAAGTTGATGAATATGTTTCATAATGTTTACTTATCTACATTCTCTTGTTCATATCTATGCCACTCGAAGAGGACTGGAACGTAGTCTATTATTATGAAAAGGACTGGAACGTAGTCTATCAACATGAAAAAACTGGAGCGTAGTCTATCAACATGATAAAACTGGAGCATAGTCTATCAACATGAAAAGGACTAGAACATGTCTCTAATATTTTGTGCTGACAATGTTGATTATAATACATTTTTTTATCACGTTTTTATATGAATAGTATTAATGTCGTCTTATTTTTATATGATTTTTCCAGGTTCAAGAACGCAGTATTCGTATCAAAGGTCTGGAATGTTTCGTTTTAATTCTTAAATGTATGGTAGAATGGAGCCGGGATCTTTACTTTAAACCTGATTCTCAAGTGGACGATAATTTTGGTGAGTTTTAACATCTTTATGAAACTGAAGAAACTCGCATGTAGCGAATATAAACTTAATATTGTTATACATTTCGATAAGTTATCGCTTTATGATCCATTGTGCCCCTCTTCTGATATCGGCTACTCTGAAGTTTTTTGTCTTCATCAAGATTCCATCTTTCTATACTCTGTATCCTCTATTTATCGAAGGTACTCCATTATTTTCTTATACACACGTTAATGTTCTTAATCGTAACTAGTTGCTCGACAATTGTAGTTAACCTCTCAGGGTCTAAGTTATCCCTTTGTTATCTTTTTTACCCTTGCTGGTCTCGCGGTAGATCAAGGCTATATCTTAATGTTTATAGTTACTCATTATTGACCCATGCTACACTCAATGTTCCAGTCCATCTCTCAGTAATCTATACTATCTTCCCGATCGTCTAGGCTATCTGTTAATAGTAAGGACTTTAGTTGAAGAGGGGGACACGTAACAGATGAAAAGCTGACAAACCTGTGGCCCTCTAACTAGATTATACAGCATTACAAAAAATGATAAATGAATAAATATATAAATAATTACAAAATTCTATAATAAAAATAGCAATACATATTAAAAATATTCAGAAAGATAAAATTAATTTATAAAAATTTAAAATTAGATAATGTGCTATTGCTTAAATCTGTTTCAAAGTTGTCCAGGTTTTTATATGAGCTTATAAAATGCTTTTTCACAGCTGTTTTGAATTGTTTTACACTAGGCTTTTTTTTGATATCATGGGGAAGGCTGTTCCATAACTTAACTGCGTCAACACTGAATGCCTTGCCACCATCGTTATTTCTTAGGTATTTGGGACACAATAAATTTAAATTGCCATGTCTGGTAGACCTATTGTGTACAGAACTGTTCGTCTTGAGCAAATCTCTGATGTAAATCGGAACATCGCATTTGAAGCTCTTAAAAATCATGGTACATTTGTTTAGTTAATTTCGTCAAAAAAAGGCAACCAGCCTAGTTTACTAAAGTTTACAACTTTTCTAGAATAAGGGTCTACTCCAAGAATTACTCGGGCAGCCCTTTTCTTTAACCTTAGGAGACAGTGGATTTCTTTAACGTCGCAGGTATTCCAAACCATGCTCCCGTACATAAGGACGGGTTTAATCATGGCGTTATAGTATAAAAGTCTTTCTTTTATTGGAAGGTATCTCTTTATCTTTTTCAATAAACCAATACGCTGAGAAAGCTTGGCCTTTAGGCTAGAAATGTGGTCACTAAATCTTGATCGATTGTTACACCAAGCAATTTATAAGAGGTTACTTGTTCAATTTCGGCCCCATCAATGGTCACTGACAGGTGATTGCCATCAACAAATGATGAATGTAGCCTTTTTCCTGTGATAAGTAATGCTTTGGTTTTAACAGCGTTTAGGACCATCCCATTTTCGCTAGACTATTTACTTAATTTATCCATGTATTCTTGAAGACGTCGTTCCAATTCCAAAGGTGCATTATCGATATTAGCGCTGGCTTTAAATGTGGTGTCATCCGCGTAAGCATGAATAGTTGAGTCCGATCCAACAGCTTCGGGAAGATAATTGACGAAAATTAAAAACAGTAGAGGTCCTAATATGCTACCTTGAGGAACTTTATTGGTTAGTATAAGTTGTGACGAAGTCGAGTTATTTACAGTAACACACTGTTTGCGATTGAATAGATAGCTTTGCAATAGCTTTACAACATCTGGGAATCCATATGATCTTAACTTTACTAGGAGAATGTCATGATTGATCAAGTCCAATGCCTTGCTATAGTCCACAAAGACTAAGCCGCTGACATTGTTCTTATCAAGGTCAAGAAGGACTTGGTCCAGAAGAAACAATAAAGCAGTATCCGTGGAGTGGTTTTTACGGAACCCTGATTGGAAGCGGTATAAAAGTGCATTTTCTGTTAAGTAGGTGTTCATTGCATTGAAGATGTGTCTTTCAAAGACTTTAGAAAGAATAGGCAAAATACTAATAGGACGATAGTTTTGAATATCTTGCTTGTTTCCTTGATTCTTGAATAGTGGTTTAACCTTTGCTATTTTCCTTTGTGAGGGAAATGTACAAGTTTCAATACAGTGATTTATAATTTTAGCTATGGAGCATGATATTTCATTGAAATATCTTGCTCCTTAGAACTCTGAAATATCTTAGAACATTGAAGTATCATGCTTTCCTTAGAACTCTGGCACCAAGCCCATCGATTCCCGTGGCTTTGTGTGTAGGTATACTTAGAAGATAATCGTTAACCTCACTAGGAGTTATTTGCGGAATAAGATTATCAATTTGACTGTTAGATTTGTCTTGTAGACCAGGAAGAGCATCATAATGAAGTATAGGTGCCGCTTTTATAAGACGTTTATATACATCAGCGAAGAAGCGGTTAAAGCGTTCAGCGATTGAATGGTCATCCTTTATCAGGTTGTTGTTTTCGTCAGCAATAGGGACGGAGTCGACATTATTCCTTGTATCTTTAGATAGGTCTTTAATTAAAGACCAAAGTTTCTTTGGACATTTTTGATTTTTACTGAACTGAGTTTTAAAGTGCTGTTCCTTCGCATTTCTTAGTTTCCTCGTCACCTTGTTTTTAATCAGTTTAAAAGCAGACCAATCTTGTTCATTTTGTGTTCTCCTGGTCCTCTTTAGAAGATTATCGCGTTTATTTATTTCTTTGTATAGATCATTAGTGAACCATTTTGGCTGATTGAAGGCACTGAACAATATTGGATTAACACAGATGGTAAATAGAGTAACAAGACCTGCCTCTGATGCATTCTTAGACCATATTTATTCTAGTCATCCTGTTAGAATTAGAGAAGTAGCCATAGGTAAATCTGGACTTTCCGATCACTGGCAGTCATTATCTTGATGTGCTGCACAAAACCATGGATGCACAACGTAAACAGCATCAAGATAGTGACC